ATCCACATCATTTTGGCATGTGTAAATGTTGCTGTTGATTTATGCTGCACCTACTTGTATTTTCAGCACCACTGCGCTTGCTCCCTTTTTAAATACAATTATTTTCAAATGCTAAGTGATGTATTGGTATACTCTCTCCCAAGAGTTTGCCACTGCATCACTTCCTTGTAACATTGATCCCTGCTTATCCCTTCCCTTGTCAACATGGAGAAACAGCCCATCTAGTGTCCTTGACAGAGGACGAGATGGCTGGACAGTGTCATCGAAGCTACCAACATGAATTTGACCAAACTCCAGGAGGCAGTGGAAGACAGGAGAGCTTGGCGTGCTCTGGTCCATAGGGTCATGAAGAGTCAGACACAACTAAACGACTAAACAACACATGTGTAAATGTTGCTGTTGATTTATGCTGCACCTACTTGTGTTTTCAGCACCACTGCACTTGCTCCCTTTTTAAATACAATTATTTTTAAATGCTAAGTGATGTATTGGTATGCTCTCTCCCAAAATGACACATTAAATAGAATCTTTTGGCCAACTGATAAATGTTTTTTCAACCTTGCCAGCATGGCCTTTTTCAAATGATCTGATCCCTGATTCGCTTCTATCCACATCATTTTGGCATGTGTAAATGTTGCTGTTGATTTATGCTGCACCTACTTGTATTTTCAGCACCACTGCGCTTGCTCCCTTTTTAAATACAATTATTTTCAAATGCTAAGTGATGTATTGGTATACTCTCTCCCAAGAGTTTGCCACTGCATCACTTCCTTGTAACATTGATCCCTGCTTATCCCTTCCCTTGTCAACATGGAGAAACAGCCCATCTAGTGTCCTTGACAGAGGACGAGATGGCGGGACAGTGCCATCGAAGCTACCAACATGAATTTGACCAAACTCCAGGAGGCAGTGGAAGACAGGAGAGCTTGGCGTGCTCTGGTCCATAGGGTCATGAAGAGTCAGACACAACTAAACGACTAAACAACAAACAAATGTCCTTAGAGAAACAAAGCACCCTAAAACTGATGGACTGGTAAAGGAAACCTTGGGTTATGAAGCATCTTCCAATATTGCCTTCTAAAGTTTTTCACACAAATTGATCGATGTTGCTTTAGCAATATATCATACAAGTATTTTTAACAAAAATTAAAGCAATTTTAGAGCTGTGTGCTTCTGAAACAGAACAAAAAATGAGTTGATTTTGTTGGGATGGCAGGTGTAGCCTACAAAACCAGTTCAAAGTTTAAGAAATGTAATGAAAGAAAGGACAGCCATGTGAAGATGCCCAGTGATTTATTATTGTATTTAAAACATTTTACCCCACCTTTCTCCTTGAAAAGGACCCAAGGTGGCTTACAACAGTGAAATACAATATTTAAAATTGAAAACAATGAGTATAAAATGGTAGTTAACATCATTAAAAGGCAATATTTAAAGCTAAGAACAAAGAGTAAAGAAAATCATTAAAAGGCAATATGAAAAATAAGAACAATAAGTTTACAATTTAAAAAAAACCTAATGCCACCCTAAGAAATGGAAAACACAGAAAGTGAAAATACAAATAGTACTAAAAATCTAGTCAAAGCAGTGATGCATATCTATTTTTTAAGAATAACACATAGGTAGCTAGCTACTGAGCGAATGCTTGCCTGAAGGGAAGGGTCTTTGTCTGCTTGTGAAAGGACAGCAAAGATGGGTCCAGCCTGGCCCCTTGTGGGACGGAGTTCCAAAGTCTGGGAGCAGCAACAGAGAAGGCTCTCTCCTGTGTCCCCATCAGATGCACCTGTGATGGTGGTGGGACCAAGAGAAAGGCCTCTCCTGATGATCCTAACACCTGAGGTGGTTCATAATGGCAGCTACAGTCTTTGACATAGTTTGGACCCAGGCCATTTAGGGCTTTGTAGGTTAAAACCAGCACTTTAAATTGTGTCTAGAAACTGATTGGCAGCCAGTGGATCTGCTGTAAGAGGGCATTATGTTTTCCCTGTAACCAGCCGCAGTCAGCAATCTATCTGCTGCATTTTGGACCCGTTGAAATTTCCTGACACTTTCCATTGGCAGCCCCACATAGAGTGCATTACAATAATCCAGTGGGGAAGTAACTAGGGTGTGTGTCACAATAGCCAGATCAAATCTCTCAAGAAATAAACATAGCTGTAGCACTAGTTTTAATTGTGCAAATGGACTCCTGGCTACTGCTGAGGCCTGGACATCCAGATTCAGGGATGAAACCAGGAACACCCCCCCAAGCTGTGCACCTGTTTTTTCAGTGGGAGTGTAATCTCATCCAGTACCAGCTGAATCCTTATTTCTTGATCTGCCTTTCAACTGAAGCACCTCTGACTTGTCTGGATTAATCTTCAACTTATTCACCCTTCTCCAGTCCATTATTGATACCAAACACTGATCTAGGATTGAAGCAGCTTCCTCAGATTTAGGTGGCAAGGATAGGTAGAGTCGGGTGCCATCTGCATAGTGGCAACACCAAACCCCAAAACTCTGGATAATCTGTCCCAGTGGTTTCATGTAGATGGTAAATAACATAGAAGACAAAACTGAACCCTAGGGAACCCCATAGGTTAGCAGCCAGGGTGTCGAACATGAATCCACCAGCACTCCCTTCTGAGTTTTTTTCCTTCGGGAAGGACTGAAGCCACCATAAAACAGTGCCCCCATGTCCCATTCCATGGGACTCAGGAAGATACTGTTGTCAATAGTATCAAAAACCACTGAGTGGTCCAGCAAAACCTTCAGGGTCACAGATCCCCTATTCAGTTCTCTTTGTTGGTTATCTGCCAAGGCGACCAAAGCCATCTTTTGTGCCATAACCAGGCCTAAAGCCAGACTGAAATGGATCTAGAAAATCTATCTCATCCAGAAACCTTTGGAACTGAGGGGCCAGAACCCGCTCTAGCACCTTCCCCAAGAATGGGATGTTATATAGATTTAGTGATATGCATAAATGAAGCAGGCAATTGAAATGATTCAAATGGCCTGTGTGATTAGGCCCCCAGATGAGTAGCCAATGTCATGCTGCTTGCAGGAGGGTAAAAGACTAGGTCATATTCTTCTAGAATAACTTTAATGTCTCTATTTAAAAATTCAGTATCTTGCCCTCTGTTTGCTGGTACTGGAGCTAACATTTTCTCAAATAAAATTGCATTTATATTGCCAGGAAAATACTATTATGATACATTTAGGGCCGCCAAGTAAGTTAAATTAGCCTTGGAGAGCCGGAAAGGTTTTATTTTTCCCAGTGTCAATATATGCTCCTAGAAACATTTTTATTAATAGTTATTTAATCAAAAAAGTCCACTTACCGTAACATTTTACAGTTTTGCATATTTAATTTTATCCTGTGTATTGTTTAATTCGATTAAAAAAAAACCCTGCCTCTTTGTTATCTCCTTATGGCATCTGCAAACAGCCTGATTAGGCTGAAACAAACTGAAACTGAAACACATTTTGTTAGGTGAACCGTGAAGTTTGTTTCTGTGTCTATAAACAGCCGGAGTGTCATTTAAATGGTGGTTCTCGAGGCAAACAGAGAGTAGAGATGGACTGTTGTAAATACAACAATCTATGATTCTAATCTAGAACCTTTCCCACCTCCCCTGTCCTCTTCCCCCTCACTTTCGTCTCCTCTCTTGCCTCCCAGTAGACGCTCTTTTAAAACACAGACAGGTGAACACTGATATAATTTCATCCATGGGCTTCCATTCACTGCTTGGCACTGTTGTGAGTGAGAACAGTTCCACCATATTGATAACCTGAAACAATTCTCATCAGCACAGATGCTTGTTGAATCAACAATGAGTTTTGTTTTAAAACAACATACTGTATATCTAGACAAAAGTCTGCTTGATTTGTATAAATATCAGCAATGTTTCATGCTGCTGACACAGCCATGACAGACTTTCTGCATATGCAAATGCATATAAGGCTCAAAGTTTCAAAAAATTACAATTGTATGGTTGTTCAAAAACCATTTTCATTATTTTAATTACTATGGCCTGCAAAAACGTCGCATTGTGTCCACTGTGCATGGACACACTCCACAAGCACCTTGTGTGTGTGTAGATATATATATATGCTCATAGACAAGTTCTGGAGAGATCAAAGTGAAGGTGGTAATTGAGCTCAGTTATTAGATCAGTACTATTTCATTCCATATTTCAGTTGCTCAATAAAACTGCAACTCTGGTACAGTTTTGACTACCACATACCTGCCTGTATGCTATGACAGAGATGGAACTGACATAAATTCATCGTATTTCCATTCTGTTGTCTCTGAGATAGTCAAATGCTCAGCTTTTGTGCATTCTCATTGTATGGCACACTTCACATTAAAAATAAATACAGAACAAAACTTTCTTTTTTGCTGAAAACATGGTTAAATTAGAGGCTAGGTGAAACTGCCATGCTCATTCATAATGCTAATATAACTTCCCCCCTGCTTTCCCCAGAATTACACTTAAATTATCTTTGACAGTCAATAACATATAATAATTAATAAAAGCAAAGCTTAACGGAGATTCTAAATACTTTTCTTATAAAACTTTGCCACAGCAAGAGGAATCCCATTCTATCCTGTGTTAAAAGGCATCCCATTGTATTCAATGTTAACATCATGGCACCAGATTTTGTAGGTATGTTTTATATTTGGATTCTTATTCTGGAACCTCCATTTTCCCACTACTTTGAGAATCAGTGAGAAAGCACAGGCCTATGTTCATCATTTATAGAACTGATTGAGAATGGAGAAACTTGATTGCAGGAGAACCGACTGGAATGAAAGAGGTGCAAGTAGATCCCAGGTCCACAACTACATTCAGAGGCCCTGCGACCTCATGAACAGGATGAGCAAACAAGGGCATTTTGCATGGAAAGGTGGAAGAGACAAGAAAGAACGAGGCAGTGCCTGTCTGACTTGAAGCTGATTGTCCAGCTGAACTGTTTGGAGGTCTGAGTGCGTGTTTGTGGCTCTTTCATTGCAGCCATGTGCTCTGCTACAAGAACAAGATGCCAAGAGGAGGGACTACAGCTGAGCTGGTGGATTCTCCGTCATGGGAGGTATTTAAAGAGAACTTGGTTGGCCACCTGTCCAGAATGCGTCTGTTGTGGATTTCCTGCTTCATCAGGAGGTTGGACTTGATGACCTTTGGGGTCCCTTCCAGCTCTGTAATTCTATGGTTTCATCAGCCATGCATACAAAAGAAAGCATTACAAATAGCCAAGGGATCACACTTAATTTTACTTACAGAAAAATAGCTTGCATGGAGGAATTCAAAACTATTAAAGGTCCATTCTTTTCCACCCAGTAATAAATCTTGTTCTCTGTTGCCACCATGTGTGATATTAAATAGAAGGTTATTGCATTTGTGTGAGTGGAATAAATCAATACGGCTTTCAAAAGCACGAGTGGAAAATATATTTGATGAACACATAAAGAGCTGTGCTCTGACACTAAGAAACCATCTTTCCTATGGAATGTTCAATTTCTAAATTTCATATTTTGCAAGTGTACAAAAACACGTTGCAATCAAAAGGGCAGAATGAGAAGCTAAATATGCAGCACACACCTTGTTTTTAAGTTGAATGGAAGCTCCTTGTATGCTTTGTTTTAAAAAGAAATGCAAGTGTTTCCTCCTTTTTGCTGCTGTGTCACTGAAATTCAGTAGGAGGCTGGAACAGTCCTTTATAGTATACTCCTCCTCTTCATCTGAGAACTGCAGAGCTGGAAGGGACCCTATGGATCATCAAGTCCAGCTCCTGTCAGGGTGGCATAGTGGGGAATCGAACTTCCAACCTGCAGCCAGAGACCTAAATCACTGAGTTATCCAGGAGTTTCATATACATGTTTTGAAATGTCCATCCCTGATGTAATGATTGAGCTATTATCCAAAGCAAGATACAAACAATATTTTGACTAACCTTCTCAGCTGTTACCTTTTGGATTTGGCCTCTTGTTTGCTCTTTTCTTTAATATTCTGCCTGATAATTCAGACAGTGAATATAGATTTTTGTTTCCCCTATGGAGAAAGTTACTAGCTGGCAGATAATAAATGGAGCAGGCAGTTCACTGGATTTATCGCTAATGGCTTCCACTGAGCCAATATGCATCATTTGTTATAATGACTCGAGTCACAAGAACAGTGACTAAAATTTAAACAACATGAAAGATGCCTTTACGTATCATATTTTGCTTTTCTTTTCTATTTCGTCTAAGTTGCACAGTAGGCAACTGTCTTGCTATTGTGGAAGACTAATTAATTTCAAATTATCTTCTTTTCAGTCAGAAATAGATTTCTGTTAATAAAATAATCATTTCAGAATGGCTCCTTTCAAGCCCTCTTTTCCAGTAAGATACAAAGACAGACTGAAAGAGGGGTCAAACTATTTTTGATCAAATTGCACACTTTGATGAACAAAAGTATTTCAGATTAATATCTAACGCTAGTTTAATAAATGGTGGAGGCTTGGGAGGGAATCAGATAAAAGAGCATGCACTCAGAGTCCAACTTTTGAGCAGGAAACACAGAACAGAAACATTAACTTATGAACAATGACCCAGCAACAGTAAGGCGTGGCTGCATAACAGGGAAAAGAGAGGTTTATCTGTTGTGATTTACATCTGTGGAAATCAGAATTCATCCATACAAAATTGCTATAGCTGTCGAAATATGCAGGAGCAAGGAGACTTGGAGGACTGTTGTGAAGCTAAATAAGGCCAAGGAGATGATGAAGGAATGGCTGACAGCAATGCTGGATGAGTCAGTTGAGAAGGAAGTGCCCTTTAGTCTTATTCACCACTCTTTCTGCTGCACTTTGTGTCCTTCGGTGATGCTTGCCTCACACAGAAAATGATGAGTCTGAAGAAGAGAGTCTACTGTTCACATGGAGAGAATCTCCATGTGAGCGAGCAAGCCAGAAAATTGAGGTGGGTACATTGTGAGAAGCTGACTTGATAGCTCAATAAACTGGAGTACCTGGCTATGGAGCCAGGTGTCTTATGTTTATTTCTCTGCGGTGTCCCCCAAGAAAAGAGCCAGCCTGTGTAGTCTTGGGGAAGCTGCACATTCCTAAAGTACCACCAGAAGAAAGAACTGGTTAACTGCTTCTGAATATCTTATGCCAACTGACAAGGGTTGCCATGAATTGGAATAACTTAATGGCATTTCATTACCATTATACACAGGCCATCTGATGTTGGCTGGATTTAGTTCCTTGAATATCGGGTCATTCCCAAGGACCTAGGAGATTCAGAGTTATTTCCTTAAAATAGGTGCTGTTGCAAATACAGTAAGACAGCCTTCTGCAGTTGGTGTATCATTCATGATCTCGTTTACACCTAGGCTACCAACTTGGTTTCCTAGGTGTTTTGGTACTGCACCTAAAATACCAGTCACAAGCAGAACAATTTTAGTTTTGTTTTGCCAAAATCATTTCATCTCAATCTGTAAGTCCTTTTATTTTGTGATCCTTTAAAATTCCTTCTCTTTGCCCGACCACTCCCGATATAAAATGACAAGTCGTGGGTGATGGGGTAAACTAGGGCCACTTTATTAATTCTTACTTCTATCTCCCTCATCCTGCAGAGGCCTGGCCATAGTCAGGGGTACCTCTTATTCCTTCCCTGTCCCTCAACTGATAAGTCCCATGTCTTGGGTCCACGCTGTCCCATAGACACCTTGTACCTGGCTGGCTAAACCTGGGGAACCCTCCCTAGCCGCTATTGGTCAAATTTCAGGAACTTAGGCAGGCAGCATTCAAAGCAAGCCCCACATGCACCTCTTATCCCAGCAAGCGAATCTTGGGATCCTTATTGCCCCAATGTGAGATGTAATAGCACTCCTTGTGCCCCATGGTAACTCACTGATACTCACTTTCCATTCTGGACTACCTGTCAATGTGATCTATTTAACACAGCACCAGTCTTGATCTGCCCTTCTGTGCCCCATGGGTGACCACTGAGACAGGCAAAAATCACCATTAATACCAATCAGGTGAGATGGGCCCAAAATTCCTATCCAGCCCTGAAGCAACCACTATCATCACACTAAACCACAGGTCGGGCAGGTGGGCTGATTCCCAAAGCCAAAGGTGCTGCCTGGGAGCAGGCTAGCTTATATGAGGCACCTTCTGTCCCGCCCCCCCCCACCTGACTGTGGGTAGAGCCAATAGGATCTGCCATCTGTCTGCCTCCATCAGGAGGAGCCAGGCAAACCAAACCCACCAGCACAGATTCTCATGCCCTCAGAGCCAAACATTACTTTCAATACCCACTGGTTTTGCCACATCTACTAACCAGATCCATTTCCTTTCAACAATTATCAAATCAGGCATGTTGTTCGTCAGGTGTTTAACAATTTGGATCTGGAAGTCCCATAATATTTTGACTTCTTCATTTTTCAACAACTTTTTCACTTTTGTGTCCCACCAATTTTGGGACACTGATATATTTCTTAGAGATACTCCACTGCACCATTGGTACAACTGCATTAGGCCTTTCCAAATAAATCTGTTTGCACAGTCTTCTGGCAGCCATAGATAAGGTGGTCTGCTATTTCTTCTTCTTTATACAACCAACATTTACTGTCATTATGTGATTTCTTAATCCAGGTTTTAATTACATTTGTACAGAGCACTTGCTCTTGTGCTGCAGGGGAAAGCCCCTTAGTTTTTTTTCCATCAATGTTTCTTTTCCCAAGCCTTGCCACATCTTTGCACTATTAGCTTTGCCTTGAATGTTTTATCTGCTTTATTCCATCATCTTCCTTCTCACTTAACTCCTCTTTTTGATAAGCTTCCTTTGAGTGTTGTGGTCTTCAGTAACACTGCTTTACCAATCTCTCAATGCTTCTACTTGACTTTCCCTGATATAGTTTGGAAAGGCCCCTCTTTTCTTGCTCAACTGATTATTTAACTTGTTGCATTCCATGTCCGCCTTCACTCCATGGAAGATACAGCCAATCGATGTCACTATGTGAGAGATGGTTATTAGTTTTCAGTTCTTCGATCTAAAGTATCCAGGATATTATGCAGTTTGCCTGCAGTACCTTAAATAACTAGCACTGCCCAGATGTTTATAGCTTTGATGGTATTACCACCGTTAAGCTTTGATTTTAGGACTTTTGTAATCCTTCTGATATATTCCTTACAAATCCTACTTTTAACTTCCTCATGCTCGATCTTTTCTGCTTTAGAGAAGCCCAGGTATTTATAAACTTTTTCTAGTGTAAGACTCTCTATGTCATTGTCATTTGGCATTTTAACACCATTGCTATTTACCAGCTATCCCTTATTCATTGCCAATGTTGTGCACCTCTCAGGTCAAAAATCCATTGTGATGTCATTGTTATATATTCTTCCCATTCTCAGTAATAAAGCTGCCAACTTTCCATAAAGCTCTAAATCATCCATATACAGGAAGTGCGGAAGCACTGTTGATTATCTTGAAATCTGATAGTCTTGCTTTGTTTTCTATAAGATGGATGACAGTGGACTCATTGTCATAATAAAAAGTGGTGATAGTGAGTAGCCTTGAAATGTATCTGTTTTCTCCTTCTCTCTAACCAGTCCCTATATCTGGATCCCATCCCAATCTCCATCTGGATCTCATCACTATCTCTATCTCTGACTCCTTCTCCTGCCCTATCTGGATCTCATCCCTATCTCTATCTCTATCTGACTCCTCCTACCAAACCTTCATATAGCTGCTGACTCCGTCTCTCCTGTCCTCTCATAGGCCCATGCAAATCAGCTCAGGACTATGAATGGCATGAGTGATGTGGGGCGATCATCACATTCCTCCACCCTAAAAAAAGTTTGTTTCACGAGGGAAAACCTCACAGTTTACCCTTATGAACAACGGAACATACAGGGAACATTACATACAAAACATCATCATACCATTATGCTTACCAGTTATGTTCCAAATCATATACTATATTTTACCATATAACACATTACATTTACCATATACTTATACATACCTTATACTAGTTTTCTCTATATTACTGTTTACTAGATCAAATTCTCCACCTCTCAGTTCATCCCTATCCAAATGTGGCATTTTAATCATTTTTCATAACTATACACAAACAAAACATTTAATACCACATTACAACTTTTATTTATTTATTTACAATATTTTTTAGCTGCACCATTACCAGTGGCTTCTGGGTGGCGTACAACAATATTAAAATTTAGAAACATTAAAACAGACAATATAAAATATCCTATATTAAAACAATTCTTAAAACATTAATATTGTTAATAATTGTAATAATTTAATATTAATAATTTGTTATCCACCTGGCCTTCAAGGCAAGGTATCAGCATCCATGCTCTGAGTTCCTTTTACGCTGTGGATTACAAAGTCAAAGTATTGCAGGTTCTGTGTCCATCTTGCAAGCTTACTGTTAGTGGATTTCACAGTTTGTAGCCACACCAAAGGGAAAGGGTTGGTGCCAAGGATGAACCTCCTTCCCCTATTGTAGGGTTTCAGTCTTTGCAGTGTCCAAACAATTGATAGGCACGCCCTCATGTTGGCAGACAAATGTCTCTCACCAGGTCAGAATCTCCTGCTGATCAGAGTCGCTAGATGTCAATTCCCTCTGTGGTCTGCTCGGCATAGCACGGCTCCCAGACTCACACTCGACACAGCACTGTATGCGATGAACTTCCAGTTGTAATCTGGCACAACAAAGGCAGATCTTGAAGTCCGTGCTCTCTTCTGTCGACTGGCAGTCATTGGGCACTCTAAAGTCCACTGGATGTCTTCCACTTGCCGCTTCTGGGTGAAGCCTGCTTTCTTTCTGGCTCGTGGCTTCACTTTTTCAGCTGGGGAAAGGGTAGGCACTTCCTTTTCTTTCTCCAGATCACCTATGGATGTATGCTTTTTTGAGATCTTATGGCTTACACCTTCCTCCTCACCAACAAATTCACCCACAGGTATATCTGGTGAGAAGTTCTCCATATGTGGGGGACCACTATCATGGGTCACCTCCAAATTCACAGGCATGTTTCTTTTAAGTGCAATCTCAAACACTTGGTTTAATTTAGATGCATTGAAATTTTCATCACCTTGTTCTATATCTTTAATATTAGGTTTCTTAGGTAGGGGTTTGCATTGCAGGGTTTTAAGTGCTATTTGCAGCTGCAGAGCGACTAGACTTCTTAGCCCTCTAGTTCTGCTGCAACAAATCTATAGGTTCTGACCCTGCCAAAAGCAATCTACTCCCCTCTGTGGGTCTCAACCTCACCACTTTGACCTCAGGACAGAATTCTCTTTCTTGGGCCTTTTTCTCACACAAGCCTTTCTGCTTTCCCTGAGTACCCCCAAAGCTTAGCTCTGTTACCTCTAAGGACTCTTTCTTATATTCTGCAGGGACAATTAATTGTTTGTTATGTCCATCTCCACTCCTATGAGGTGTTGATAAAACCTCTCTATATACAGTGGTGCCCCACTTGACGATAATGCATTCCAGCAAAATCGCTGCTAAGCCAAATCGTCGTCAAGCGGAAAAAAAACCCCATTGGAATGCACTGAAAACCAGTCAATGCATTCCAGTGGGGGAAATACCTCATCATCCAGCGAAGATTGCCCATAGAGAATCGCCAATCAGCTGTTTAAAATTGCTGTCTTCCAAAGCAGGGGTCTGGAAAACAGCCATTTTGCAAAGGGAGGGAAGCCATTTTACGAAGGGAAGCCATTTTGTGGAGCCGGAAAAATCATTGTTTAGAGAACAAACGGTTCGCGAAGCAGGCTCCTAATCGATGTCAAGCAAAAAAAAAAACCCATTGGAACCACCGTTTTGCGATCACAATAGTGATCACAAAAAACTCATCATAAAGCGATTTTGATGTCATGCAGGTTAAGCGTCTAGCGTGACACCACTGTATCAGTAGTGATCACAAAAAACTCATCATAAAGCGGTTTTGATGTCATGCAGGGTAAGTGTCTAGCGGGACACCACTGTATCAGGTTTTTATCACCCATAAACCTCTCTGGGTGTTCAGGTGTCAGTGGAATGGGACTCTCATTAGCTTTTGTAATACAATCATTTAAAGTACTATCTTCCTTCTGCTCATCAGTACGGGAAGTATTATTAGGATCCTCCAATATGACCACCTCAGCCATTTCTGCTATCTCAGGGTTTTCCTCTGAACTGGGACATTGTTCGGGATTTTCAGGGGTCAGTGGAATTTCCTTAACTTGTGCAAAGCATTCACTTAAGGTACGATCTTCCTTTTGTTCTTCTTCTATGAATGATGGATTATTAGGGTTTCACATAGTAACCAAATCAGTTGTTTCTCTCTATTCTCTTATTTCAAGAAGATTTCCATCATCTTCCTCAGTGGCTTCAATTTGTCTTCCCTGAGAGCACGTTGTCACAAAAACACTCTGTATATGCTCAGCTAAATCCAGGCCTATAAAACATGGGGCAGGAATCTGATCAGATATGGCCACCTTCCAAATTCCTGACCATCCCTTATATCTCATTGGTATTTTTGTCATGGGCAGCGCCACTACTTCAGAACCAATCCCTTTAATAGAAATCTTTTCATTGTCTAGCATATTTTCTTTAGGGACTACATCAGGGTGACATACTGTAACTTGTGAACAAGAATCTTTGAGTGCTAGATACTTATTATCAACATAGATAACATATCCTGAGCTGCATAGAAGAAGATTCTGATTCCTTTCTACCAGAAAGCACTGAACAACCCTGGCTTCAAGAAGACCTTGGCTCTCTGACCCTTCTGTTACTTGTGTTGCTACGGCGACAGCTTCAACTGCTACATTCTTAGCTGTTCCATGATGTTGTACACAAAACACCTTCTTAGGGGGACTAGAATCTCCACCCTTAAGATGATTACTATCCCTAGTATTTTGAGTCTCACACTGAGCCCAAAAATGACCTTTCTCTCCACACGTACAATACCATTTACTGGCCTTGGGTTCAAAACAAAGGGCCTTATTAACTTATTAATCTCTTTTGCTATATCATTACCACCTTCTCTACCTATTTTGCTAACCAGCTCTATCTAACTCTGTATCTGTTCCCTCTCTGACTAACCAGCCCTTATCTGACTCCTCCTTCTCCCACCAAACCTTATGTAGCTGCTGACTTTGCCTCTCCAGTCCTCTCATAGGTACATGCAAATCAGCTCATGACTATGAATGGCATGAGTGACATTGGGGTGATCATCACAATCCCCTTTGCTGGGAACTGAGATTCACAACAAACAAAAAAGTAGTGTTATAAATAGGGTAGGACATTTTTGAGTTGGTTGGTTTATCCAATACAATCTCAGAAATGGTAACTGCCAAAAGAAAGAAAGAAATGGCTGAGATGCTACTGAGTCCCAACAGAAACAAAATGGCTGGGTTACACCTCAACTGATCTCACATGCTAGGGAATTTTGGTAATTGTCCTCTTACTTAGAGATGTAAAACTTTCAAAAATGTTCACTTCTTCCAGGGGGGAAAAACATTTTTCTCTGTTTTTTTTTCCAGAAAAAATGGAAATTTTCAGAAATTTTACATCTCTACTATTACCTGGACAGTTGAGCAAGAAAACAACTCATTTTTCACAAATACTGCTGATTTCCCACCTTATATAACAAGATATGGTACATGTTAACTGGCCACAATGTCCAGTGAATTCTGGGAGTTGGAGTCCAAAGAAGACAACTGGGAAGTGCTGATAGTTTTAGTTCTCTTACTCCTGAATGGGCAAGAGCCAGAAATGTTTTGCATAAGTAGCACTATTGTCTCACCCTAAATAGCCATATGAGTTATATCTTCACTGGAAATGCTACCTTGTGGACATTGGTAGTCATAGGTCTCTTAACAAACCAAACTGGTCAGAACACAAATGTAACATTTTGCGTATGGATAATACAGATTTCTTAACAAGTGGATGGGTTAGATCTCAACCAGCCACACTGGCTGATGGATTCTGGGAAATGTAGTCCAAATAAGTTAACTAAGCATTTTTGGGAGTTGTAGTCCACAAAGATCTCTGAAATGATAAGAGCTAAAACCATTAAATTTGGCATAGATGCTACTGATTTTCCAACTTAAATAAGTGGCAGGTTGTATTATGACTGGCTATATGGGCTCGGACATTCTGAAAGGTATAGCTGTCTCACTGAAAAGGCAAGAGCTTGAAGCATGTAATTTTCCATTGATGCTACCTATTTCCTAACTAAAAGAACTGGGCAGGTTATGGTAAGAGCTAGAAATACAAAAATTTTCCAGAGATCTACATTACTTCCATCCTGAGCCCTTGAATGGCCATGCTGACTCAGAGGATTCTGGAGGGAAATAAGACTGTTGTGATGGAGCAAAGAAAGAGACAGAGCAGTGAGGTGAGAGTAGAACTAATGGGTGTCTAACTTTAGCACAAGTTGAATGAGTAGCAGTGAGGAAGGTGTGGCACTATTACCAGTAGTAGGTAGTAAACTGAAAACCAACAAGCCTCACCATAACCTCAGTGCTCCCATTTCTTCCCATGCCTCCCAGTCTTTCTGTCATATCATAACATGAAAAAAAAATCTCAAGTAATCTCTGCTTTTCTATACCATACCCACTATGTTATATTTAGTTCTGACTGGTCTTCCAAGCCCTCATTTGCCATACACAGTGTGGCGGAGTTGTCATGAGACAGCTGTCAAGAGACAAAGCTTGGCAATGGCTTCAGACTTGACAGACTCTATGACAGGCATGGACAAATATGTATTCTGCTAAGTGTGCTTTAGAAAGATACATTTTTATCAGAAACCATTTTAAAATGGTATCCAAATTTGTGGTGCTTTAAAAATTGCAGATTAATGCAGAAGTGGGACAGAACAGATTTATGGATTAACACGTGAAACTAACATGGACTGGAAATAGGCTAATCCGTAGAGCTTCGATTCATGGTCATAGAAAGGCAGTGCACCCTTTGTCATACAATTGTTGGTTCCTAGATTACAACGGCTAACTAAGATGTCAGGCTGGCATCTTTCCCAGTCTTGCTGCCTGAAATCCTTTTTTCCTGAAGATGCTGGGAATTTTATGGATGAACCTTACACATGCAAGTCATGTTCTGTACCATTATAGACCCTTTCCAGAACCTAAACTAATACATCTCCCTCTTCTCCTCCTGGAAGTTGGGTGTGCTTGCAAGGCAGAAACAAATCATGCATCTTTTCACCAAGGAGATGTATCAGTCTGCATACTGATCATTCAGGGTAGACACATGACAGCCAAAGCATTAGGCACTTGATCTTTATCAAGGAAGCTATAATCTCCTATCTTTTTATTCCAGGATAATTTAAAAGCAGGAAAGAGAATTTTCAATGGCATTTGGTTGAAGAAAATGTGTTTAGACGATGGCACAGAAAAAGGCAAGGTTTCTCTGAACATTTTTGCCTGAGATTCATCAGCATTCTGTGGCTTCAGTGGAAGAAACAGAAGGAAATGTAGCTCTGAATTCCAATTATGCTGAGGGGAAGACTGCAGCATCCCATTGTAAGAAAACATCTTCCATTGAAAGATTAAACCAAAGAACATGTTCCTCTCTACTAGCCTGGTAAAATACAGATTCAGAGGTACAAAAGCAAATTCAAAAGCAATCGAAAGAACAGTGCACTGGGCTGTGCCTTCTTTGGTGGCCTGGACAATGCTGGAGCAATTTGGATTTTGGTTATGCTGTTTTAGTGCAGACAACAAAGTGTGGAGAGATCAGCCTGTGTTGCAAACGAAAAATTATCAACCTAGAGTCCCCTTGGTTAAAGGAAACAAAAACTTAGTGGTACATGATTGCATTGTTTTATACAAGGTGGACCTACACATTCATCTATTCTATAGAGGGCAGAAAATGGAGGAGAGAAAGCAAGGATACAAGGTGGACCTACACATTCATCTATTTTATACAAGATGGACCAACAAAGCGATGGTCTCAAGAATTCCAAGTCATGACAAAGAAAAGTTCAGGTAAGTTTGGGAACAGCTACACTGGCCGTTTACCCCACAATTTGCAATGAATTAGGTACAGATGAATCTAAATTAAAGCTGGCAAATACCTGACGTGAAGATCAGTGCAGGGGATCTCAGTATGGAATCATGTATTTTCTGTGGGGAATCATCTTCAGAAGGCAGGTGTGATTTAAATATCCTTCAATTGAGTTGACCTTGCTTTTGTCTGCTTTCTGCTCTATATGATCAGCTCCCCTTCAACCAAGTGCTCGTATCTGTTTTTTTTAAGCTTTCAAGGCAGCCATATTGTGAGATCACTTCAGGGAAAAATTTTAAAAGAAGAGGAAGAAGAAGTGGAAATTACCACTTAGCATCTTGACAAAGGCACTTCTGCTATTAGGAAGCTCAGTGTAAACCAAGCCCTCGGTGTCTCTGCTCCTGCAGACTCCCTATATGGATAGCTACAGCAATTTCACACACCCAAGCCCAATTCACACAAATGCAGATCACAGCAGATCCAAGTGTATTTTCTTTGCTGTGTATTCATACCTTTAATCACACCCTAGCCCCACCTTTAGTTGCAGGTAGTACCTGGGTACCAGAAACAAATAAGGCATGTTTCCCACTGACCCCTAGTGTTAAAGAAGAAGCATACAAGATTGCATCTTTCCAATGGACAAACGCTTATATTTCCAGATTAAAATGGGAGGCACCAGAGAACCTCACCTGGATGACTGAGAATCTTCACAGATATGGAGGCACATTCTTATACAGACATAGACACAATCATCTAGTGTAAAATGTAAACAGGGGTCTTAGACCAGGTTTGTCATCAGGCAGCCTGCCATTTTATCTCCTATCCCATCAGCACACTGGCTGCTCCCCAAGCCTGGGAGAATAAGCTTACAGTGTATATGTTTCATCACCCCTGCAGTGCCAACCTATCCAAGGAACTGTCAGCTGACTCCATCAAGACTGCCTGTGCCTCTTGAGCACCTCAATCTGAACAATGCATCACTGAGAGCAGTAGAAATCATTTCCACTGCCTTGCTTGCATTGTATTGCACTGCAGTCCCTTCCAGATGTATCCACTGCTATGGCTTTATTTTTCAAAGCACACTTCAGCTCCTTTTAACACACATGATTTGGGAATCGCTGGAACAATTACTATACCAGGTTTTGACACCACAGGGCTCGTATTAAGCATTCATTTTGAAGTGCCCTTCCTTTGTGGAAGAGTGATTCATGCATTACAAAAAGATCCAGCACCACAGAGGTTTAAGAAAAGGCTTGAAATAAAACTAGGATAAAAGTATGCTTGGATATATGAAGTCTCTGATGACAACCCAATGCATATGTGCTTAGGAATGAGCCCTGCTGAATTCTGTGGGGTTATTTCTGACTCAACTTGGAAGTATTATCTGGCTCTGTTATAGCACACTGTCATAACAAGAGAACTTCGGAAGGTTATCTTTCAGAGTTTAATTCCCTTGACCAACAACCCCCCAGACCACACATACACTGGCCACATTTATGCATGTACACTTTCTGAGCTCTGGATCACTGCGTTGTTCTGTTTTTCTGTATATTCTGTTTCTCTTTCTGTATATTCTTTTGTTTTTCATACAAAATTCTCCAAAGCAGCAGTACAAAAGTCCAGAATTTAAGCCAAAACATAAAATGAAGAGAACAGCACATTAATAGCAAAAACAATTAACAGTTAAAACATTCATGGATCCAGAAAGCTAATCCATTAAAATTAACAGAGCCTAGTTGACTCAATACAGTCCCTAACCAAAAGAGGGCCATTACAACAACAACAGTCTTTGAGTCTTTGAGGTCCATGTAAAAACCTGACTAGGAGAGAACAGAAATCTACCTTGCGGTAATTCTTTAAGTAATGGAGGTAAAGGTAAAGGTAAAGGTTCCCCTTGACAATTTTTTTTGTCCAGTCGTGTTCGTTTCCAAGCCATAGAGCCAGCGTTTTGTCCGAAGTCAATCTTCCATGGTCACATGGCCAGTGCGACTTAGACACGGAACGCTGTTACCTTCCCACCGAGGTGGTCCCTACTGATCTACTTGCATTTGCAAGCTTTCGAACCACTAGGTTGGCGGGAGCTGGGACAAGCAACCGGAGCTCACTCCGTCGCATGGATTCGATATTGTGACTGCTGGTCTTCTGACCCTGCAGCACAGACTTCTGCGGTTTAGCCCGCAGCGCCACCACGTCCCATGTTAAGTAATGGAGGTAGTGGGGTTTAAAAATGACTCTTTGTAGCTTGTATGTTCTCTTATTTAGCTCATCACAAACTTCAATTAGCCATAAAGATGAGGGGAACAGCATCTCCAAGGCGTGCTTGTTATCAGAGTCAAAGGATAAATGCTTGAAAATGAATCATTGTTGAAAAGCATGAATATTGTTAAGTGCCAACATAATCTACCATTCACCTTTATCTGGCATTGACTACTAAATTACCTGAATAATTCTGTGTGCTTCTCTGAAGTCAAGGTGGCCTAGCATTAAAGAGAAAAAAGTGCTGGTGACTCATTCACATCCAAGAACATCTCAGTGATTTACATGACTGATTTCATATTAATATTTCAGAATCTTCCCGGAGGCAGTTACTCCTACCTGTGTATCTCATGTAATATGTTATGGGCCATGCTATTTGCAATTTGACATCCAGTGTGTGATAACTGACAGCTTATGCTTAGGGCGGCCACTGCTCCATTGTCAGAAACTGAGAACAGGCATTGCAGTAAAGGAAGACATGAAGGACAAGGAACACAGAAAAGGAGGACATTTTTGTACTAAATTTGTGTATGCCCATTTCAGCTAATATCTGCAAATATCATCACAACTGGAAGTTATCACTGCCATTTAAGTGGAAATACATTACCACTCACCATACTGCACAAGATTGTGACCTGGTTATTGCTTTAGGACAGAGCAGTGAGAAGGAGATGGGATATAAATCAGATAAATGTAGAAGGCTTAATGTATAATAACTTCCTAAAGTGCCCTGTGCTTTGTATTTTCTGTAGCTTGCTGAAAATGAATATACTGTATACCACCAAATGGATGGAAATTGG